CAGTTGGCTGATCGATCCGTAAAATATCCCCAAGGAATTATTGAAGACGTGTTGGTTAAAGTGGACAAATTTATTTTTCTGGTAGACTTTGTTATTTTGGACATGGATCAGGATCGGGAGGTACCATTGATATTGGGCAGACCATTTTTGGCAACTGCCCGAGCACTTATTGATGTTGGAGACGGTAAGCTTGTCCTCCGCGTTGGGGATGAGTCTGCCACCTTTGACATGTCCAAAATAATGAAGAGGCCCTGTCAGGATAGTGGAGAGTGTTTTTACATGGATGCAATGGATTCTTTGGTGGAGGACTGCATTCCTAACATGCTCTCTGATGAAGCCTTCTTTGATCTTCTTTTGGATGATAGTTTGTCAGCAGAGGATCTTGAGCTCCTCCCTAGTTTTGATTGTCTTGTGATAGGTGGGGAGGAGGGCTCAAGTGATGCTAGTGAAGTGAAGGGGAAGGAAGATGATTTAGATAAAGTGGGGAAGGAAGACTGTCAGACTGATTCTTCCATTGTTACCCCTTCTCCATTTAATCTAAAGCCTCTTCCCTCCCACCTTGAGTACGCTTTTATTGATAATAGTCCTGACCTCCCTGTCATCCTTGCATCCGGACTTGAGCCATCCCAAAAATCTGCATGTCTTGACCTACTTACTGAACAAAGGGAAGCTCTAGCCCGGAAACTTTCTGACATGAAAGGAATCAGTCTTGCTTTCTGCACTCATAAAATTTTGATGGAAGATAATGCTAAACCGGTGGTGCGACCACAAAGAAGACTGAATCCTAATATGCAAGAGTTGGTTAGGGAGGAAGTCATCCGTCTGTTAGATGTAGGCATTATTTTTCCAATTTCAGACAGCCCTTGGGTCAGCCCAACCCAGGTGGTTCCTAAGAAAGGGGGGATGACTGTGGTTAAGAATGAGAAAGATGAATTGATATCGACACGTACGGTCACCGGATGGCGGGTCTGCATTGATTACCGAAAGTTAAATGCCGCCACTCGGAAGGACCACTTCCCCCTCCCCTTCATTGATCAAATTTTAGAAGGGTTAGCAGGGCATAAGTTCTACTGTTTCCTTGACGGGATGTCGGGATACTTTCAGATCCCCATAGCCCCAGAAGACCAAGATAAGACCACGTTCACATGTCCATTCGGTACCTTCGCATATCGAAGGATGGCGTTTGGATTATGTAATGCCCCTGCTACCTTTATGAGATGCATGCTAGCTATTTTTGGGAATTTTATTGGGAAGTTTATGGAGGTTTTTATGGATGACTTTTTTGTGTATGGTGACACTTTTGATGAGTGCTCAGAGAATTTGAAGAAAGTCCTGATTAGGTGTCGCGAGGTGAATTTGGTGCTTAACTGGGAGAAGTGCCACTTCATGGTTAGTGAGGGAGTGGTCCTAGGGCATAAGATATCGAGTAAGGGGATTGAGGTTGATCCGGCTAAGGTTGATGTTATTTCTAAATTACCTCTCCCTACCTCAGTCCGTGTCATTAGGAGTTTTCTAGGACACGCAGGTTTCTACCGTAGGTTCATCCAGGACTTTTCTAAGATAGCCCGACCCATGACTAAGCTCCTTGAGAAGGAAGTACCGTTTGACTTCTCAAAGGAGTGTTTAGAGGCTTTTGAGTGTTTGAAGGAGAAACTGGTCAAGGCACCGGTGGTAGCAGCTCCTGACTTGTCGTTGCCTTTTGAAATTATGTGTGATGCTAGTGATTTTGCAGTAGGAGCTGTTCTTGGGCAGCGTCGAGAGAAACATTTCCAGCCTATTTCTTATGCTTCTAAGACTCTCGATAGTGCTAAGGAAAATTACACTACCACCGAGAAAGAATTGCTTGCTGTCGTGTTTGCTTTTGACAAGTTTCGTCCTTATTTGATTTTGTCTAAGATAGTGATTATTTGATTTTGCAATAATAATTGGAATCATTGGTGGTGTGGCCGTACTGGTCGTTCTCCTCTCGGTTTTGAGCAAACTTTGTTATGCGAAAGGTACGTACTAATTTTCTTTTCTTCTGATAAACACACTTGATACTTTCACTTTAGCTTCTTTCAAATAAATCTGAATATAAAATTCTCCTTAAGCAAATTTATATTTTTGTAACAAAAAATGCAATTGGTCAATGAATACTCCTAGATAGAAGATTACAAAATGTGCACTAAAAAGTATACACCAAGAATGGTTCTAATCTAATCATAAAGTAGATTAAAAATGGGCTGTGAAAAAAATTAGTCCATAGTTTTCAACTATTCACGACAGAGTCCGGAGACACCACTTTTATTAATTACTTGGTAGACCATTATTTATTTTGAACTTTTGCAGGTGGGAAATAAAGAGAATTTGTCGATGTGCCATTCCAAATTTACACAGACGAAAGCCTACTTACCTTTTTTACGTTTAAAACGCGTTTTAAACATGTACCATTTTTTTGAGCAAAAGAACGCGTTTAAAACGAAAAATAATGTCGGTCCGTTTAAAAAGGAAAAAAACTTCCACTTCCCGTATAAAACGTATATTTCCCGTATTTTACAAAAAATAAAACCATCATTTGATCACTTGAATGAATACATCAAATGAATAGGAGATCAACAATAGTTTAAAAGCAAAAAAGAAAATATCATCCCCGTGACCCCGTGTTTTTGTATTGTTACAATACAAAATATACAATTGTTAAATACTAAAATTATTTAAAATTTAAAAGACTAAAATCTAAAATACTACTACATATTAGATTTGTGAGTTTTTTTTTTCAAACAAGCATATCTAAAATTAAACATGACTTTTTTTAGTATAAACTTTTACACATAGAGAATAAGGCTAAAAGGTCAAATAGGTACATGAACTAACTTAAAGTGTTCAATTAGCCCCTTATTTAGGAGGTTCTGTCCGGACGTCGCCAATTGGGGCGGTTCCTGATGGAATGTTTTGATGAATTTTTTGAGAATCTTCTTCATTAAGTCTAGTTTACCCATATCAAATTTCAGCTAAACATTAAATCGGGAAGACAGTCAAATGATTTTCCGAAATGTACTGCGCTGTTTAACTGCACAGTTATCTTCAAAAAATCATCTGACTACCTTCCCGGTTGAAGTTTTAGCTGAAATTTGGTATCGGTAAACTAGACTTAATGAAGAAGATTCTCAAAAAATTTCATCAAAAAATTCCATCGGGAACCACCCCAATTGGCGACGGCCGACTAGAACCTCCTATATAAGGGGCTAATTGAACAGTTTAAGTTAGTTCATGTACCTATTTGACCCTTTAGCCTAGAGAATAATAAGTGTACCAGTCGCACAACTTTCTCATGTCATCCGTCATCTAGGTGAAAATGATGAGTTTAACTTGAGTGTTATTTGATGATAATATAAAGATGATGATGATGTTAACTTGGCCTCATTCTATCGTTATTATGCCTTATTATAATCAACTTATGCAATTATGAATTATTATTCTTTTATGTAGTAATGTGATTTGCTACTTCAATATATGTACACTCTTATTTCTTTTTATTATACTCCGATGTTATTTTATGAAGTATATACTTTAAATGTTATTTTGGACTTAACCATTGCTTCTTTTTTGTCATGAACTTATGCTATTATGAATGCATTTTTTGATGGAGTAATGAGATATTATATTTGAATATGTGTGTATGTTGATTATCCTTTATGTACTATATGTTTTTATGCTCTAAAAACTAGTACAATAATTCAATCATTCAAAATAAGACCCGTATTTTTAATCCGAATTTTTCTAAGAGATGCCGTTTTATACAGGTATACGTATTTACACGTTTTATAAAAGTTAACGTATTTTTTGCCAAATTTTTGACCGTATTTTTGTTCAAGTTACCGAATAAAACGCGTACGTATTAAACCACGTTTAATTCCCGTACCGTATTTAACTAACTATGGACGAAAGTGTGTATCATATTGAATTGTTACTTAGTTTCTTTGGGTATATTATTTTCCTTTTTGTTGTTAATTTGGGCTGCTTTTGTCTTTGTATGTGCTTTTGAGGAGGTGGTTTGTTTGAAACAATGTAGAGAAGGAAATTAATTAGTTGAAAGAATATATTAATTAGCTGAAATAAACTTAGCCGGGCAAGGCACCTAGCTTGAAATATTTCCTATATAAAATACACACACTTTAACTTTGTCAACAGCTAAAGATGATATCTTTAGGGTGATCACACATTTTCTTTTGGCAGTGGGCATCTTTTAGCCTTTTCCAATTCAGTATCTCTTTTGTGGCGGGAGAGAGCCATAAGTTATGGTTGAAACCACGGAATATGCTGAATTATGAAAAATATATTCTTTTAAAATCATCATATGTAATAACTTCAATGAATTAAGTAAGAAAAATAATTTCGATCTTACTTATTTTAATTATTACCTGATTCACAGAAACAAAAGTTTTTTGTTTGATAAAACATTAGTTAATGAACCTGAGCTGAAACATAAGTCAGCAAACAGACTCTTAAAGTATACTCCGTATTTGGGAGTTAGTTTTGGAGGGGAGACAAAGGTTGACAAGGGTTTATGATCCACTCTTTCATGTTTGGGATTTTATAAATATGGAGGGAATAGTTTTGGAGAGCTTTTATAACCTTCCAAAACCCTGCCCAATTTTTAAGTTCATCCAAATTGAAATATTTTGAAGGATAACTAATTAAATGATAACTTTATCTCAGTTTAAAAAATATAAAATCAAGTATTTAAATTCATCATATATGTGAAGTGATTTTAATCAAACCTCATCCATAATCTCTATCTTTTCAAATTTGTTACTTTCAAACAAAATGTCTCCTTTACCTCCCATTCTCTTCCAATAACTAACCTTAGCCCTCCCCTCCAAAGTCGAAACTCCAAAACATTACCTAATTACCTAAGTCATGAAGTCATGATAAGTTTGTTTTAACAAAACGCAGTAAACATGTAAACTGTTATTCCTTCTAAGCTAAGGCATCTATTCTTTTTTTGTATGTAGCTCTTTCTTCCTTTTATATATCCTCCTCCCGTTCTAAAATACTTGTAAGCAGTTTCTCACCTTTCATAATCTCTCTTTTTCACTATCTCTTTTTGGATGGAAGCTCTCATTCTCTTGCTTCCTCTTTTTTTATTTCAAAGCATCACCCAATCCAGGGCCGCACGCATCGACGCTTTCATCTACGGCGGGTGCTCGCCGACAAAGTTCAACCCCGGGACGGTCTACGAGTCAAACGTAAACTCGGCGCTCACATCGCTGGTCAACTCGGCCGACTCGGTCAGCTTCAACAAATTCAAGACTTCTCTCCCCGGGTCGACCCAGCCCGACGTTATTTACAGTCTTTATCAGTGCCGCGGTGACCTCTCCGTCTCCGACTGCCGGAGCTGCGTGGCCAGAGCTGTGAGCCAGCTCGGCTCGCTCTGCGTCGACACCTCCGGCGGCGCCTTGCAGCTCGACGGGTGTTTCGTGAAGTACGACAACATCTCGTTTTTTGGGGCGGCGGATACGGCGGAGGTCATCCACAAGTGTGGGCCGTCTATCTCATCCAGCTCGGACGAGACGACGAGCCGATACACCGTGCTGACGGGTCTATCAACGGCGGGCCAGTACTTCCGGGTATTCGGGTACGGGAGGGTCCAGGGTATGGCGCAGTGTACGCAGGACGTGGACTCATCGGCGTGCCAGAATTGTTTGTCAGAAGCCATCGGACGGTTGAAAAGCGAGTGTGGGTTCGCCTCGTGGGGGTACGTGTACTTGGTCAAGTGCTACGCGCGTTATTCGGAGCATGGATTCTCGCAAAAAAGCGGTAAGTCGTTCCTCCGCCTTGCACGGTGGTCGTCGTCCTTTACCGTTAGTGGATTTCTGCTTGTTTTAGGTTTCTTATAACAGTGTTTATGTTACACCGTACATTATAAATGGATTTCGTATAAATATCTTTTTGGGATTTCAGTTCATATTCAAATTAAATCAAATTGTGTATTAAGGTATCCAATTTGATTGAACAAATGTGGAATAATCTTTCTAATCGGAATAACCTATAGCTGTCAAGAAATTTGAATATGACCCTTGACATTAATATCGCCCACGCCCACACATATACATTATAATATATGTTCTCGTATATGTTGAACAAATGGATTTCGTATATTTCTCGTTAAATACCGAGTATTCTTGACTGATATATAGGTTTTGATTCTGTGATTTTATCCATTCAGAATGTCACAATGATACTTGACAAATTGTACATCTATTTATTTGTCGAAAAGGTAAAAGAAACTTTTATTTTGTTAAATACTCATCATGTAAATTTTATTTTGAAATGGAAGAAGTACATTTTAGACTTGTATAAAACAAACAATTGCTCTTTTATAGCATAATGAAATACTAATTATATTAATTAAAATAAACAACACTTTTTATTACTCCGTATTATCAATTACTCCATATATAATTATTTCAAAAAAAAAACTGTATTTATAATTTCAAATTTCTGAATGAGACGAGAAAGTGTGTTTCCCCAAATATTGAGTGCTTAACACGTAAACATGTAAAAGTGGGTGAGTATATACATGCCAACTTTATAAAATACGAAAGTGCGGATTTTTTTTGGGTGATTATAATTAATTTTTATTTTGTTTACGATTTTTCAAATCAATATTAACTACGTAATTTCACTTTTCTTAAAAGTTGCATGTGTATCACTCTCTTGTCCCAGTTTCAAGGGTACAAAGGTCGTAATTTGGAAAATTATAACTTGAATTAAAAATTTAAATTACTTTTTAAAGTTTCCATTTCAAAAATCTAAAACACTTGCCATGTCGCCATTTATTCATTTTTCCTTAATTCGAACAATAACATTATATTACATGACTTTTGAATATTTGTGAGATTTTAAGGTTTAGTTATCAATATTCAACTAAAAGGTATTGGTCTTTTTTGTGAGAAAATTATAATAGAGCTAATTTTGTCAACACACATTTGTTAGATTAGACACACATTTGGTCTAGAATACTCTCATTTATCTCCACATGCAATATACTATCGTATGATATTGTGAGAATTTCATTCATTATTTTTGATCGTATGGTGACTTATTTGTGATCTTATGGTTACTTATTTCTTGACTATTCCAGGGGCGTAGCCGGGATGTGGTCAACCCTGACCGAGCCCAAATTTAAAAAACGTTTATATTTTTAGTGTAAAATAGACTGGGATAATAAATAGGTTCTTCTAAAGCACGCCCACCCGTTCTGCCCGCAACAAATTCTATGTAATTTTTTCCTGAAAATATTCTTTGTACTGATCCAATCCGACCTAGTGCATGCTCTAGTTCCACCCCTTCAATATTCCATTTGATTAGGATATGGAGATGTTTGGGCGGATGATCCACCATTTGGGTGGGGGCGTTAGAGAGAGAAAAAACGTGTGTGTGTGTGTATATATATATATATATATTGAATATGCTTTTACGGTTTACCTTTTCCGTTGTATAAAAAGATCAATTCTTTTCCGTCCTACACTCCTACCCGAAAAGAAGTTGTATAAAAAGAATGGAATATGCTTTTATACTCAACTTTTTACTTTTGTTTAGTAAGAGAAGAAACAAGACAAGATTAGGGGGCTTGAGCATTTTGGAGGCCCCAGACGAAAAATATTTACTATGTACAAATCACTTTTAAAATCAGATAAATTGAATAAAAATCGCCTTATGAAAAAAAACACATTCAAAGTCCACGATATAATGTTTGTAATATTCAAAAGGATAAATTTTAAAATACAAACTTATTCAAAACACAAGGCAAACTTGTACTTGTAAAAGTACTAAGAGACTTCAAGAACGAGACTCAGAGAGAAGAGCTGAAGAGTCTTAGTTGATTCACTAACCAAGGACCCGTGTCGACGGCGGACAGTGAGGCATATATACAGTAGCTGATTAGTGGTCTGTGATGGACGTTGATGCGTGTTGAGATCGGATTTTGATAGTTTTTTCCTAACTTTAAGGTGTCATAAGTCTCAATTTTAAGCACAAGTCATATTTACCGGCCGTTGGTTCGAGTTTTGGTATTTTTGGAGTCAACATCAGGGAATTTGAGCCTGACACCGGTGTTTGAGAAGCAATAGGGACTAGTTGAGAAGCATTTTAGAGTTGATTAGGAGAATTGGAGATCAGTGAGGTCTTAAAGACAAAGTTTTGAAGACAAAAGAGCTCTAGAATTGGCTACGGGATCAAAAGAAGACGAATAGAGCTTGAAAACAACGGTCAGGATGACGTTCTGTAAATCGTTCAAGCATATCTTTGCTTAGGAACATCCAAAAAACATGATTCAAGTTTCATATGAAAGCCAAATTCAAGGGATACAAATCATATGAAGACACCATTGTGAGAATCTGAGAGAAGCAAGGTGAAAACAGACGATGAAGTCAGACAATCTCTGTTGAGATTTCAGAATGCGACCTTCCACCATTTTATTCATATATTTTTATTGGATGATTCAAATCCAGTTTTGCAAGTTGTGTTGGATAGAAGACTTCATTAGCTACAACTTTGATGAAGGACAGATAGTCAAAAGTGAAATATAAAGCTGATTTCTGCTTGCAGTTGCCGCTTGGTGTATTGGCGGTCTGCGAATAACACCTAATACTAATACCGGAGTAGAATTTTTTGGAGCCCCCCTTGGTAGTTGAGGCCCAAGGCAGTTGCCCGGCCCAAATGCCCTCAAAGCCGCCCCTGTTGACGACTCATGAAGGCTTGCTTTCCTCTTATCGCCGACCTTTAATTAATTTAGCTCTTTATTCTTTTTTCAAAAGCAGCTCCTGCGACCCTATCGTAATTGTTTTTCAGACTACTTTCTCAACAAACACATATTAGTTGGATTTGGCGAAGTTATTATAAGGAACTATTATAGCTATTTTTAAATACAGTTTCTTTATTTATTAATAATATATTTTAAATATAATTTTTAGTTAAAAGAGCACAATCAATCAATTTAGTCAGAACTATATACTCCGTACATTTCAACAGAATCAGTCGATTCGGTCAATCACAACGTCACCAAACAGGCCCTAATTCTAAGAAAGAATCTATCTATTCTCACTCTTTAGTAAGATTAATTAAAAAACCATTTGATACATTGAAAATCATTACAATGTACGTATCATATATCATATATATATTCTTGCTTTTAATGAAGAATGTTTTTTATTTGAATTCATACATATATACATACACACATACATATTCATTTATGTACCCCCTCCATTTGTTGCCATTAATGTATTAAAAATTTATTCAGTTATTTTACTATTGTTAATAGTTCTTGTGGGAAACGTGACCATAACCATAAAAATAGTTTTGATGGTTATTGTTTTTATTTTGATTATGTTTTTACTGTTAGGTTTATTCATTATACAAATTTTTAATGTTTATGAATTATTTACATACAGATAAGGTGTAAATAATTGTAAATCATTTAAATTAGTTTAGGGATTTAAGTAACTTAAACTAAGACAATTTGCATAGTTATATACTTATATATATTATTAATACTTTAAATAATTATTTAAAGTATTTAGTGATAAATATATTATTATGAAATTGATTAGTTTTAGATAATTTTTCTGAAAACATCACTAAAAGAATATTGAAGAAAACGGTATCACTAATGACCATTCTCACTATCACAAACAATATTTATTTAGTACTAATAAAAGAATGAAAGTAGTTCATTTTTTTAGTTATATATGTGAATGAGTTTTATTTTGGGAAAATAGTAATGTCATTATTTTGTCCAATGGTTTATGTTCCATTACCATTTAAAAAAGACATTTTCATAATTCGTGAAGAAATAATAGAAAAAATCTAAAAGTACACACTTTGTGTACACATTCTTACATACTCGTGTCTGTGTAGATGTTTTTTTTGTCTGTCCCAAACAAAAAAAACGTCCGCGCAGACAGGAGTGCGTAAGAAATCTAAAAAGTACAAAAAATCTGAAAAGTACACTTCCAAATATCTTACTCTATTCATGCCCGCAGCCGGAGAAAGCGAGAGAAAACTTGCAATAATAATTGGAATCATTGGTGGTGTGGCCGTACTGGTCGTTCTCCTCTCGGTTTTGAGCAAACTTTGTTATGCGAAAGGTACGTACTAATTTTCTTTTCTTCTGATAAACACACTTGATACTTTCACTTTAGCTTCTTTCAAATAAATCTGAATATAAAATTCTCCGTAAGCAAATTTATATTTGTGTAACAAAAAATGCAATTGGTCAATGAATACTCCTAGATAGAAGATTACAAAATGTGCACTAAAAAGTATACACCAAGAATGGTTCTAATCTAATCACAAAGTAGATTAAAAATGGGCTGTGAAAAAAATATTCATGACAGAGTCCGGAGACACCACTTTTATTTATTTGGTAGACCATGTTCACTAAAAGTTGGGATTGATATACATTGACCATTATTTATTTTGAACTTTTGCAGGTGGGAGATAAAGAGAAGGGTGATCACACTTTTTCTTTTGGCAGTGGGCATCTTTTAGCCTTTTCCAATTCAGCATCTCTTTTGTGGTAGGAAGCAGGCTAATCCGGCCAAATGTCAAGGGAGAGAGCCATAAGCACTAGAAAAGAATTATACACGATTATAATTCTTTTCGGAAGGAAAACCGCTTATATCAGTATCATTAGAATTCGGAACGTTACAATAATCTCAAAAACACCAACACTGACAACAATTATGCGTAACCAACTAGCACTATCCACACTATGGCTATACTTAGAAATGATCGCTCCTAAAAGAACAATATATATATATATATATATATATATATATATATATATATATATATATATATATATATATATAGAGAGAGAGAGAGAGAGAGAGAGAGAGAGAGAGAGAGAGAGAGAGAGAGAGGTTCCGGTAAGAATGGACTCCCATGAGAGAAATGAGAATGAATCTGGATCGTTGGATTATTTTATGTCGATCTGGATTGTACACTTGGTGAAACTGAAATGTGCATAAGATGATATTGACATGTGCAGAATAAAAATTTAAACCCAAGTGTGCATTAGGTGAAACTGAAATGTGCGGAATAAAAGGTACAAAAATAACATCACATCGTACTTTTTATTCTGCACATTTCAGTTTCACCTAGTGCACATTTCAATTTCACCTAATGCACAATTCAGCTTTCACATAATGTCACTGTATCCTACCATTTGTGTTGCACATTTCAATTTCACCTAATGCACATTACGGTTTCATCTAATGCACATTGAATTTCACTTAAAGCAAATCTAACAGTCCAGATTCATTCTCATTTCTCTTCTAAGATCATGTTCTTATTTGTACCAAAACATATATATATATATATATATATATATATATATAGGGTCGGGTTCTAATGAGAAGACATCTTAACGTGAGAAGTGAGAAGTTACACATTTACCTATTTCTGATGCACTTTTTTGCTAATCTGATGCACTTTTTTGCGATGGCAGAAAAGTTCCGATTAATTACGGAAATGCCACCGCGTCTAGCATCACTTTTTTAATATTTTTTGCACTTTCCCGTGCATTTTTTTGCTAATCTGATGCACAGATTTTATAATGAACGCACCAGATGCATTCTCACTTCTTACGATAAGCACTCTTCTCATTTGATCCTTATTCTATATATATATATATATATATATATATATATATATATATATATATATATATATTCTTCTAACGACATAATATCTAGCATAATTGTCAATCATAATTGTAAACATAAAACTAAAGACATCAACGAAAAACAGAGCAACATAAACAAACATAAAGCTAAAATAAGACTGATGGATAGTGAACCCGGGGGTAGCTTATCCGAAAGGTTATTACGGCAAATAACTTAGAGAGAAGTCAGAGCAAGTAGGAGAGTGAGTGAGTTTGTATTCGATATATATGTTGTGTGTTTACAATGGAAGAATTGGCTGCTATTTATTGCAGCTATAAATGCTAGGCAGGGACACGTGTCAAACATCTGATGGCTGAGGGTCGCCTCAATCAAGGGTGACATCGGTATTTGCATGTGCACCGCATAAAATGCGATGGTTGGACGTGACGCCGCATTAAATGCAGTGGTTGCCTGTCTCTAAAAGGAATCTTCATCGAGTCTGCTATATACCGAAGGCCTACATGTGAGTGAAGGCAACATATAGCTAAAGGCTTTATATAGCCGAAGGCTATATACAACCGAGGGCATGGAATGGCCAAATGCTAACATTTTAGCCAGAAATTACCAGAAGCTTTGCAGGTCCATATCAAGTTGTCTCCTAGAATTTGGAGCCCTCGGCCATAGGGCAGAAGGCATCCACATGTGCATCGTGAGCTTCTTCATGCTTGGGCCGCTACATTTGGGATTTGTGTGCTCATCGGGCTTGATGAGCCTGTGTAGGAGAAGCAGGAGTCTTTGGGCCAGGGTCCCTGGGTCATATACTCCATTAGGAGTTCCTCACTCCTTTTGTCGAAAGGTAATTGAGGGAAAATGAGTAATTGTGGTTGTTCTGCCGAAGGCGTCCTCGTTGCGGGAGTTTCCTTCCATTGGTTATATGCTCTCTGGTGTTTGCCGAGAGGAGTCCCTCAGTCCCCCTACATGTCGAGGTCTGAGGGCTTCCCGAGGGGAAGTGTTCATAAGTGTGCATCTTATGCTGGTGCGAAGACTGTTTTGTCACTATTTGTATATTGACTGATTGTTTGCAGGTCAATCTTTATTTTCTGCGTGTTTTCCGAGGGGTTGTGCTCATTGTTTGACCGGAGGGTACATGTGCCATTTGCATCTTTTTTGCATTGTGTGAATTTTTGTTTATAACAGTTCCCGAGGGGTGCATCCCTGGAGTCCCTCACTCCTTTTGTCGAAAGGTACTTGACGTAAAAGGAGTAATTGTGCGCTACATAGATCCGAGGGCATGTGTTGGTGAAGGGCGTAGCAGTATCTGATGATCCATAGGTTTCATGTATAGCTGATGCGTGATTGCCAGAGGGTTATGTGAGTTGTCTCACACTTAAAATAGATTGTAATATAGTGTGTAAGTACGAGTATCGTCTCCAAAGGGACGGACAAAAGGGAATTAAGAATTATTTAAATTCAGTGATTAAAAAGAAATAAAATAAAATATATTGTGCGAGACTTGATTGATTGGAAAATAAAAATGCGAATAAAACGATTAAACTAGGGGGTTCTTTCTAATTAATGACGAAGGGAACAAGGATTGATTCCGGGATAACCAGATTTCTGGCAGATCAGGCCTAATTACATGAAATTAATTCAATTGAGCCTAGCTAATCATTACTAAGTTCTTACCGCTCTCGCGGTGTAGAGTACAATAATTTAGAGGACCAGGCTGATCTCTCATACGACAAGATCCTAAATTATTGTCAAGACGAGCGAGCTTACAACCCCTTAATCGCTACTAATGTCTTAGCGAACGATTAAGTGTGTGTGAATGTGTCCTAGAGTAAACTAGATCTCTCTTAATTTATTCTATAAGCAATTGTAATTCTAGCCGCGGTTCTAGGTTACAAAAGATATCAATTAAATTATTCAAACAAAAATTAAATGGCATTCATGCAATTAAACCATCAACAAACTAGCCATACATCACGATTAGCCCCTTCATCAATCCCAAATCCCTAATTAAAACTACTCTCGATTGATAATTGAAGCATCAATAGAATTGGGAAGAATAGAAATAATTGTCATTAATTAAAAAGATGGAACTTACAAAGAATCCCAAAAGATGGATGAACAAGGCTTTAAACCTCTCTAAATTTCGTGTTAGACACTCTCTCTAAGCTCTCCCTTGAAAACATGGGTTTACAGGCTGTTTAAATAGAAAAAACGCGTAAAATTTGAGCTGGATTGGGATTCCCGGAGGCAGACACGGTGCCAGACACGATCATGCCTTCGATCGTGCCTCCGGAACAAAAACGCGCATTTTTGGCAGGTACGATTGTGCCTCCCTCCAGGCACGATCGTGCCTGCCTGGCAGTAGCTCCGCGATGCTTTCTCTTCACGCACGATCGCGCCTGACTTTGAGGACACGATCGTGCCTACTTAACTTCCGAATTTGGCAATTCTTGCTTCATGTAAGTTAGATAATGAAGTCTTCTATCCACCCCAATTTGCCGAATGTGATTTGAATCATCCAATCAATAGATATGATCAAAACGGTGGAAGGTATCATTCTGAAATCGCAGCAGAGATCATCTGACTCCATCGTCTGTTTTCAACTTCTTTCTCTCAGATTCTGTAACACCGTCCCCAAGTATATTTACTTTTTAGTAAATCATGTAATAAACCTTGAACAATGATTTATAAATTTACGAGGTTGTAAATTCTTGTTATTACTTTTGCGTGAATGGTGAATTGCACGTGGGGCCCACATCGGGAGAGGGGACCACCCGATAATCCCAGGACCACATATTATATTCATATTGGTCTAGATAATATGTATATGGTGGTAGATATTTTAATTGGGCCATAGGAAGGGCATAGGGTTGACCCGTCGGTCAAACGAGGCCCAATTACCGGTATCGATAATTTATCAGATAATAGCCCGAAACGGATTTCGGAGACGTCTAAATTAATGTTGGGGAATAAATACTCATTTCAAAAGTCCATAATGATGGGAAACACATAATATATTTTATTTGACCCGATAAAATAAAAAATAATTTAAACAGTCCGAAAAATACAACTTTCAGGGCCGATTGTACAAATCGGGACACAAAGGGATGACCTCCCACATGAGTGGGGGCCACCCCAAGTTTTTGTATGCTCAAATTGTTTAGAGGAGGCTGGAGTTGACTAAGAAATGTGTGGAGGAGTGGGCTTTGGCATCAAAGGTACCATGGAGGACCCATCACCTCATTAATTTGCCATTTGAGACAAAACAAGCCACCCTCTCTAATCCCCAATCATCTAGCTCTCCCAACCCATAATTTTTGAGAGGAGAATATCTGCAAGATACTCATTCTACATAGCCAATTCGAACTCAAGCCATATGAGTCCAAAAAGAAAGCTTGAAGAAGGAAAACGTTAGGAAAAGTGTGGAATATTAAGGTAATAACCTTGTAATAACTTTTCCTCTACTTTTCATTCATCATATGGATTATACATCATATTAGGAACCCCTAGTCTTGTTCTACATGCTTAGGAATGTAGAATGAGAGGTTGGAAGGTAGTTCTAAGTCCAAGAATGGACTTAGAAGCCAAAATGACCGGTTCGCCGGAAAATAACCTTTTAGAGGTTATTCGTATTGATATGAGTTTTGTGATGATAAAACCATGTTAGGAGCATAAATAAAGTGTTTCTAAAGTTCTCCGGAGTTTCGCCGGAGTTCTCCGGAGTTTCGCCGGAGTCCAACCGAGAAGCGTAGAACGCGCTAAAGCTCATTTAAGGTGAGTGGATGGCTTAATGTCTTGTAACTTTTGGGTTAAGCATGAGATTACCTAAGTAAATGTTATATGTGTTCATGATGATGTTTAAAAGAGATTAACATGTGATTAGTCAAGGTAATTAGGTTTGTATGAAATGAACTATCAAAATATGCATGATTTGTGAAATGGAAATGTTGATAAAAATGCATGTGATATGTTTAGAGATAAATGGTGCATAATATGGTTGTTCATAACTAAATGCAAGTTGTGACTAGGTTTGGCACATGTTGGATTTGAAATAGCAGGTCAATGGAGGGCTGACCGGTTGTTTAGGGGCAACCGACGCCCGTTTGGTTTGTTGCCTAT